CCGCATAGTTTATTTACTTATTTACCATATAAATGTGAAGGCCTGACGAGAATTTACCGAAATAACGTATGTTCGCCAATTTCTCTTCTAATATTTTCAGTGGGAATTTCCGCAAATTTAAAATCAGGTATAACAAAAATTACCGTCGATTTCGGCGAAGACCTTGGTGATTAACTAAATAACGAGAAAGAAGTAATAGGGTCGACATTGCTTAACTGCTATAGAAAAAATTATAGCAATGGCACTTTGGAAAAAAACCTACTAAACGTAGATTCAACTTAAAAGCGTAGTAAGAATACTTTGGACGTTGATCAATTAATGCCAAATTTCCTCCGCACTTTGGTGGTTATATCCTCCAAACTTTCTGTTTGCTACTCTAGCCTTAAAAAGCGTATAAAGAACTGTGATAATAACTGTTTGGGACACATGTCAGTAGCTAATAATAAATGGGATGCAGCAGGCGGAAGTGCGGCGTCGGACAAGACGCGTTCGCACCACATAGTTTTATATGCAAAACACTGGCTACTGCATAAATTAAAGTAAACAAACGAATATAAGTAAAACAACCAGAGGATAGCCGCAATTTCATAAGGCCTGAACGAAAAGGGAAGAGTCCACAGCTGAAACAGTGGGGTGTCCGCCATGGCAGACACTTGAAAAGCACTCAACAAAAACAAGCGGGGAAATAAGAAAGCTTTGGAATACAAATAAACAGTACAAGCAAAACATAGGAACATAATGCACTCCAGTCCAGACCAACTGATTAACTTCAATTCGACTTAGGTTTAATATCCTGATCATAATAAACCCTGTGTGTGAGCCATCTGTGTTGTCTAGATACGAACCTTTGCTTGGTCCTGACGATAGTCAGGATTATTGCCAATACAAGCGAACCCTCCTCAGGATTATGACTTACTCAACGAAGGAACAGTAATCTCGAAACAGTTCTTTATCAGTCTGCCCGCATCTCGGGCATAACAGTCATCGCTTGGTCAAGTTTGGCCTGGCAGTTGGTTGCTGCATGCCCACAACCTCTGACGCCGATCCAGGATTTTTTTGTTCTTTTGGGAAACTAGTGCACCGCTGTGAGTCCAGCCCTCTATCAATAAATATCTACCGGCGAGGTGATGATATGGCAGGTGACGAGACACTGATGAACCTATCTGGTTATCCAACGCGTTCACACGCATTTTAGTCATTCAAACTTTTTCATGTTATATGTTCTTTTGCGCATTCGTACTATGCGTTATTTTGTTCTTGCAGCCAAGCGCTTGTACAATTTGTTTACAAGTTAGTCTACGAGTTAACTTTCGATAAGTTAGACCTTGAAAAAAAAACTGAGCGTCAGGTCAACAAAAACAAACATTTTTGACATCTCCGTTTAGGTGAGATAACTGGAGCAGTAGAGGCCACCAAAACACTTGCACTGTTTACGCCGAAGATGGTTTCGCTGAAAGGTGGGCTGAGAACTAGTTCTCTCATTCCAAAAAAAGGACAATTGAGGTACAACAGGTGTTCTGTATTCAGGACGGAAATTTGGGCTTCGATGCAGATTGTCTCAACACTCTACTTAATATAGATCACCCTCAAACAATTCTGGCATTGACCAGGGAGAGACGGGATATGACAAAGCCCCAACATCTCGACATCTGCAGTCGATGCGAAAGGTCCAAGGCCTTCCTTTTGGGGTTCCAAACTCTTAAAGTAAAGACGACAAGACTCCCTACGACGGATAATGACATTTGATGATGTACTATAAAAAATAATCGCCATGATCAAGGCATACTACTGCTCCACCACGGTGCGGGTTCTAGCCCACAACAACCTCTCAGAACACTTCGCTATTTGGTCTGGTGCTCGAAAAGGCTGTGTCCTGTCCTGTCCTGACTGTATTGAGCTTGCACCCGGACGCCGGTCGGCTGACCTCGACTATGCCAATGATATCGCTCTACTAGCTTCGAGGCTTGGCGGTCTACGGTCTATGGGGTCACGGTTGAACGAGGTCGCGAAATCGGTCAGTTTATCCATAAAGGCTGGGAAGGCCAAAGTGTTTTCATGCTGCAGCACTGCTCAAGAGAAGGCATCTCTCGAAATTAGTGGCTGTCAACTTGAAGAAATAGACAGTTTCAAATACCTGGGAGTAAGGGTGCTGCCGAACGGAAAGAGTAA